ACATATATATATATATACATATATATACATACACATACACATACACATACACATACACATACACATACACATACACATACACATACAATACTGTACTGAGAGCTGCGCATTCCTTGTGACAGCCCTGCTTGAGTCAGTGAGAGGCAGCACCGGAGCCTCCGTGCCGCTTCAGAGGGGCCCACCAAAATTTTCTCGGGGACCACCGGTTGGTGACCGCTGCCCTAGACCACAGGCACAGGATAAGTGTTTGTGTGTAACTCCAGCAAAAGCTGCTCTCTGTTTTGATGATGCACAGAAGGTTTAGAACCGCTGTGGTTTTATTTTTTACATTTTTCTTTTTGCAGATTTTGCATTCTACCCCAGTGATCACTATCTCAGAATTGAAAGGAGAGGAAATTCCCCTGATTGACCTTTTTTTTTTTTTTTTTTTTTGGAAGTAAAGGAGAGGAAATTCCCCTTATTGACCTTTTTTTTTTTTTTTTGTTGTTAAGTACAGTATGCTTCATTAGTGTATCTCTACTTCCTGTGAGCTTTTTTCACCCCTTTTTTTTGTTCTTTTACTCTATTAATTTTTAATAGCCATTTATTCTTCTTAATCAAATGACCCCCAACATTTCTGTTTCTGGGTTCTGTTGCAATGTTTCGAGAGGATCTTTTTAAAGAAATGAGCACTGTCTTTGGGTGCATACACACGCAAACCTGAGTTGTCATTGAGTTCAGATTTACAATGTGCAGTGGAGGACCCTGCTATTAAAGATCCTTTGTTAGGGCACATGAATTCCTTTTATCACAAGTAACAGTGGGGGTGGACTGTTCACTAGCTTGCGATGGGTGGATTAACTATCTCTTCTGTTTTTCTTTCCCTTTTTAGATTTCTATTGATAACAATAACTACCAAAACCCAGTCTGAGGCATGAAGTTCAGATTTCTTTTTGTTCGACTCTGAGAACAGTTAAGTATCTTGGTTTCAGTGTTGAATGCCGACTCTCAAGCAGCAGTCTAGCTTAATCTCCTTGAGTAGGATGTAATCTGTAATCTATACATTACAAATGTTGTAAAATTGGTTTTTAATTATGCCCTGGTTAGCAAAGGTACAGAAAATTGAAACTGAATGTAAGCCAGGGGTAACCAGGAGTGTAGCAGGTTTTGTCAGGTTAGCCAACTTCTTTCCTGCAGAGTCTAACCTAAAAAATAAATGAGGGTTTTTTTTTCCCCTCTTACCTTTTCTCATTTTTAAAAGCTGTTTACACTATTTTATATATAAATATAGTCCAATGCTGTAGCTTGCATTGTTTTTAAAGCTATAGCAGGTTTAACGCCCAACTCCAGCCGAATAGTAGGAGTCAGAACCTCTTTTCGAAAGGGGTCACAGAATGCAGTATGAACCTAACCTAGGTTTTCACTCCCTGTGCTTTCCTGTACAAAAAAAAAAATTGGCTGGAGCTGTGCTTTTATTCATTCATAAGAAAATAGAGTCAGAACATTCTCGTACGTTGAGTTCCATTAAACTGCATAAATGTTTATGTATTTCAGGAATGTTAATAATGGCCATTTTAAATACACAAATAGGTAGTGATTTGTTTACTGAATGTGCCAGAGTTCACTGGCATTGACTGCTTAGTGGTTACATGTGCCAAATAAGATTGGCCACCTGCACAGCAAAATGATGTCTGGAGTTGGGCGTTAAACCTGCCATAACTTTAAAAACAATGCAAGCTACAGCATGGGAGTTTTTGTTTTATAGGTGCATAGCAGGACCCTGTCTTTTATATTTTACCAAAAAATTGGGTATGGATAAATGTATTATAACAATGTAAAAAAAAAAAATCGTAAAAAATAAAACCCCCAGTGGTGAATAAATACCACCAAAAGGAAGCTCTGTGTCCCCCAAAAAATGGTATAAAATTAATTTCAGTACAGCGTTGCATGACTAAATAAATGTCAAAGTACCGCAGCGCTAAACACTGAAAAATGGCCTGAACAGGAAGGGGGTGTAAACACCTGGTCAGCAAGTGGTTAAAGCCCGATGGAAATTAGACCAAATACATTCCAGGTTTATAAAAGATGTTCAATGTCCTACAGTTTTATTTTCTTAAGGTGCCCATACACCTGACGATTATCGTACGATAATCACGGGTGATCCCGCTATCTGAAGATAATCGGCAGGTGTATGGGCAGCGTGCGACCGCATTTACTATACAGTCACACGACTTTCGCCTTACGAGCGCGCTAGAAAACCTGTTAGCTGTTAGCGCGATCGCAAGACGAAAGCCGCATTGAAGACACTAAGTCTGTTGTAACATTTTATTTGTGAATAAAGATGGCCATACACCTTATTTTTTATTTTTTCCACTCAGCATATGGTCAGATGGAAAAAGTGCAACAGATTCCTCCATCTACACTAAACTATGTGGATGGAGGAATCTCCCACTGGGCCAAGCGTCAGTATCTTGCTCATCGGCCCCGCTGGCTGTCCAATCGCCTGAACAATCTGGATTCAGGCATTGTTTAGGTATTTTGAAAGCCAGCGGGGCCGATGAGCAAGATACTGAAGCTTGCCCCAGTGGGAGATTCCTCCATCCACACAGTTTAGTGTAGATGGAGGAATCTGTTGCACTTTTTCCATCGGACCATAGAAAACCTATGATGCACATATTTTTCCATTGTGTTTATTTTCTTAACTTTGCACTTTCTGTCAGATGTATCACAAGAGGAGGTTCCGGAGTCCTGAGGAGATTCGTGAATGGAAAAGAAGAAGACGGTCCCCAAGCTGGGGACACAATGATAGATATAGACATCAAGATCACTGGAGATCACCACGCAGGTCCTGTTCCAGGAGGTACATAGTACATATCTGTATAACAATGCTTAGCCTAGTGCTTTTACTCCAAAGCTTGTCGTGATGAACTAAAACAGCGTGAGGACGTTAAACATATCCTGACCTTCCAGTAAAACATACAGAGGGGAATTTATCGAAACTGGGGCAGACAAAATCTGGAGCAGTTGCCCAGGGCAACCAATCAACTTTTCCCTTCCGTTTGTTCAGATTTGAAAATGAAAGAGAGAAGCTGATTGGTCACCATGCACAGCTGCTCAAGATTTTGTCCGCTCCAGTTTTGATAAATTCCCGTATATGTATGTTTTACTGGAAGGTTGGGATATGTTTAACGTTATAATGTATAACATTTGTTTCCTGGCTTCCTGGGAAGGAACCTTGTATCGAAGGGAGAATAGTTTATTGTTTTTGAATGTTTTGATTTGTATTGTATTATCAGATAGCATAAATAGCAAAAGGTGACGCATCTAAATTCCACAATCCTAGGCAGGGTTATGGTAAACAATAAAGTAATCTAACTCATGCAAATGTGTCTGATTCATAACAGTTCAGTACTACTTTGATTATCGGTGGTTTTAGAATATGAATATAGTAATTATGATATTTACAAAGTTAAATGGTTTAGGGAAACAAGACCAGCAGATTAAAATGGGTGTAGAAACAGTTTGAGCAAGATATTAAGTATTATTGGTGCAAAGGGTAAGGGAATGTCCAAAATAAGATGTATAGGAATGGGGATGTCAAAATGGGAGGGAGCAATATAAGCTACAAAAAGTGGGGCTGAGGAGAGGGTAACTGGGTAGACAGGAGCAAAAGTAGGAGATGCCACCCTTGACATAGCTCCAGATGACTAAGTTATTGATAAATGAGTTCAGGGCATTCATATTGCAGTCAGGGACTCCATATTTCAAGGAAACTAGATTGGTAGCTCCGCCATAAATGAAGCTAGTTCTGTTTAGTTTCACTAGGGTAGTTTGGAACTTTATGTGGGTACCAAGTATACTTGCATTATTACTTGGTTGGCAGATATAGCTACAGATGCCCCACACATTTGACCACTCTATTTTATTATAGTTGTAGAAGGTACTCCTACTATTTTACCGCATGATTGAGGTGGGTAAAGGTAACCTATGAGGATAGAAATATAGGATCTGTCATTGCTGACGTGGTTATTAAAGGTGCAGACTCTGGAGCTTGGCTTCACTACCTAGAAAGCCTCTAATCTGGAGATGGATAGTCTTTACCTTTAGGACGTAGTTGGAAATTCTCATATTTCTTAACGGTGGCGGTTCTTTGATTTCTGTCCTTGCATGGTTCCTTTTAAAAAATGTATTATATTGATCCACCTCCTATACCTTTTGTTGACCTTTTGAGTGGCGAGTCAGCAGGGAGATATGGGAGGCTAGATTTGTGGGCAAGTGCTCGACTTCATAAGCCAGGTGCTTGCAATTTCGATATGTAACCAGTTTAATAGCCTTTACAAAATGACACATTTTTATTTTACAATGCGTCAACTTTGCTGTCACTGGATAGCATATTATGCGTGTTCTCTACTAAGGTTTTTTTTGTAATTTTTCAACTCCGTATTTTGTCATTTTTAACAGTTCAGTTTAAATCTGTATATTGTTTTCTAACTGATATTGATAAGCCTATGTAGGTCATATTGTTGCTTTCTCATTGTTTTTATCAATAGGAAGGAGGCTTACTGGAGGAAGTCTTACAAGACACGATCCAGGGAAGGTAGTCTCACTGGCAGTCTGTCATCTCAAAGTGAGCATTACTATAGACACTCTTATGCACTGGGGAAGACAAAGACTGGAAAACACAATCATGAAGCCCCTCACAGACGCCGCTCTAGGTCTGGCAGCTTTTCTTCCTCGGTGAGTATAAAGGACATGGGTGAGTGATATATAACCACTAATCACTGTTGTGTTGTGCATTTTAAAGTAAAAATTCTTTAGAACATGTTTAATCACGAGGAGCAATGCAATGAGACCATATGTTACATCTCATGCTGCTTTTGAGTATTAGGCAATTTAAAATTGCTGTTTTTGGCTCCTGTTTTAAATAATATAGTAGAGTCAGGAGCTCCAACACTTCCTTCTCCCTGTACAAAGGAGACAGTTAATCGTAATGGAACATTTTTGTTTCATCATGTCTCTAAAATAAACGATGACTTCATGGACTTGGTGAAGCCGTGCTACTTTTTCCAAATACTGAACTATAGTCTGTTCAGGTGACAGATTTCCTTGAACTGCTTATCAGCTGCTGTATTTTGATGTTTAACACTAATTGTTGTTATTTGTTAGACTTTAAATCTTGTAACCTGTAATGCATGTTTGTCGCAGTGTTTACACACCTTTTATATAAACATGTAGTTTTACATTTATGCATTGATGTAATGAAAGGTGATCTTTTTTTTTTAATAAAAGTTAGTCTGTGTAGATTTTATTTTTAAATTCAGATCGGCTTCAGTGCTGAGCCGTCTCTAACCTGCACGTCTCCCTTTGCAATATCCCCTATCATTCTATGTTTTTATATGACTGCACACCTCTCAATCTACACCGACTTGGACCTGTGTCTTCTAATTGTAACCACCTCCCCGGTATCTCACGGCAACGGACGCTACACCTTGTGGCTGTTGGGCGTACAGAAGAGCCAGCGAAGTGCTAAAAGCAGCCAGAATGTAGAAGATGACAAGGAAGGGCACCTGGTGTGCCGGGCTGGAGATCGCATCCTGGAGAGATGTACTGACTCCTCTTCCGTAAATCTTTATCCCTTCTACTCTTCCCCAGCTTTACCCTCTGTTTCTCTCCCTATTATAGAACTGCAGGGTGGACTAATTTATAGGGAGAGCCTGTTGTACAGTATATTTCTGAAACAGACAGTTCCCTTCACTACTGTGCAGAGCTCCTGCTACAGAACAGCTATTTTGCTTATCTTATGTAGTGGCTATAATTTGGGGCTAGTGCAGGAAATGGAGGGCTGATAACTGGCCTTTTCCTTCTAGAACTCAGTTGTATTGAACTGAAAGGGTATCGATATGCAATCAATAATAATTTATTTTTCCTTTCCTATCACCTCACATATAGAAAGGGCTTTTTCTTTCTTCAAGTCTTTCCTGTTCTTTGGGAGAAAGTAATAGTTTGTATTATTTCTTGGGTGTTTAGTAGCATGCCAGTTGTTTAATAAGTAGCAAATGCTTCCAGCAGCAGTGTATATATAGTAATGGAATAGATGGACTCTGGAAATCTGCCTAGCAGTGAAGGATGTGACTGGTCTGCTGCAGCACTTCATTTTTACTCCTTTTGTTTAAAATCTATATTTGATTTTATGTCTTCCAGATGAAATAGTGGGAAATCTGGGAGAGGGAACATTTGGTAAAGTGATAGAGTGCCTGGACCGTGACAGGTTTGTACAGATAGATGTCAGACTTTTCACTGCTAATTTTCTCTTGGTGATTCTGCTGAATGTGTCTTTGTATTGCTTACAGAGACAAAGCTCCAGTTGCTCTGAAAATAATACGTAATGTGAAAAAATACAGGGAGGCAGCCTTGCTAGAAATTAATGTCTTAAAGAAGCTCCGGGAGCAAGACCAAGAGAATAAATAGTAAGATGTTTTTGTTTTTTTAAAGTTTCTTTTTAATGACCATTTTGAACTTCAAAGTTCTGCTTAGGACAATCCTAAATGCTCTGTTTATTAGTTTAACCTTAACTGCCACTGCCCATGCCTCCATATCCATTTAACACCCTCCTGGCCAATGATGGAATTATCCCGTCACCATCGTTCAGTTCGTTAACAACCGGTGATGGGATAATTTCGTCATTCGGTACAATGAGCGATGGTCCGTGAAGGGATCAGCAGCTCATTGAATTACTGCTGTTGATGGGCCTTGTGAAGTCAGAGGCAGACCCCCAACAGCAAATTAGGTGGTCACAGTTCTGTGATAACAGCATTAGCCGACGATGTGATCGCGGATCCATGACAGTCACACAGTCGGCAGCAGTTTACTGTGTTTTGTAAACTGCTAGCTAGCTCGGGTTTTTACAAACTGATACAAAGTATCTCTAAACCGAATACTGTATTCTACCTAGAGATACTAAGTATCGTGTAAATAAAATAACCCCTTATTGCCCCCTAGTGTAACATTTTATTAAAGTCAGTTTAAAAAACTAAATACTTTTAATAAAAACATTTATAACAAAATATAGTGCCAAGGAGGCTTTTAAGGATAGGAGACAAACGCCACATTCTAAAATTGTTCCACACTAAAATTATAACTCTCAAAATAAACTGAAATCCCAGACATATGAGACATATTATATACCCTATAAATCATGACAAATATAAGAATTTATTATGAATTACCTTCTGTTAGCTACACTAATTATGTACACATTAGTTTTGGTTTTTTTAAATAACAATGTCAATATGCATATGTCATATCAACTTAAACCCCATTTTGTCCTTTTTAAAAAGCGGTATATAATATGTGTAGGTGCAATGAATGAGGAAGCTGGAAATTACGGTTAAACAAACACACAGCAAAAATGGCAAAATTGCTCCGGTCCCCAGAAGCGAAAACCATATTCTGAAGCTTTGTCACTGAGGGGTTAAGGAAATACCTTGTCCCATGCAGCGTTTTTCCTACTGATCTCCACATCACTTCTGTGTTCTGTAATGAGCCAGAAACATTAGTCTGAATGTCCTTTTCATTTACCACCAGCACTTTGATAGAACTGCTTTCATGAAGTAGCCTCTTTCACTGAAACATTTAAAATAAAAGCACTGTGTACATTCTCTTTTATAATGGCAAGGATGCGCAATGAAAATTCAGTCAAAATATTATGAGCCTTAGAAGGTGTTATTACCTTTCATAAAAAGTAACAGGTGGAATCTTAATGCTTCATACAAATAATAGTCCTACCTGCCGTTATAAAAGAAGATATTGCCTATAATTACAGCTAATAAGCAAGATTGGCTGGAGGACACTTGAAACACAGGAAATAGATACAGTCTCTATGTAAACAATGCCTGTGCTGGAAATAAAACATGGAGCCCTAGGCTTGCCAGGACAACATTTGTAACATAAATGCTAAAAGCTAGACCTTTAAAAAAAAAAATGATGTAGGGGGTTATTCACTAAGGAGCCGAAGGATTTAGCCGAATGTTTGGCTAATCCTTCATCTCGCTTTAGCTGCAGAAAGCATTTGGTTCAGCCAAACCGAATGGCCGCTGTACGCGCTATACTAAATAAACCTTTAGGTCTGGTAGGAAAGTTGGGGGGGACCACTGATGTCCAAAAAAAAAGTGTGGGGTTCCCTCAGTCATACCAGACCCATTAGGTCTGGTGTGGGTTTTAAGGGGGACCTCAAAAGCCAGCCAGCTTAGGGTCACCCCTAAAATCCCATCCCATGACCTCAATCCTAGCTCTGCCCCCGATTGTTTACATGCCATTTGAAGACAGAGAGCCAGCATAGAATAAAAACCAAAATGGGTGAATCGAGTCGTGACGTCACAACTCTTCCCATCCACTTGTTTACATTTGGGCCAGACCTGTCATTTTTCAACGGCAGTTCGGCGTGGCTTATCTTTATTTTGGCGAGTTGGTGGTCGTCTTTCATTGATGAGGATCATCGCTGGATGACGTGATTGACCTTTGGATTGCAT